TGACATGTTATATTTCTTTTGAAAAGAAATACTAGATAAAAGAAAATTGTAGTAGTAAAATTATCAGCCTATCTCATAAAAAGAACTACAAATTACAAGCAAATTTATCAAATATATTGAGTTTAACTTCGGCCGTACGTGTATCTTTGTACCATTAAGACTAGGTTGGCCTATAGTAATTAATATGTACTCATCTATAATAATTCTAATTGAGTTTATGTTTTGTGCCTGACGGTATAAAATATTTGTACGTTATCAAGTTAAATTGACCTACAACAACAAGTAACCTTGCATATCAAGACTCAAGTGTGATATGATAATATAAAAATATAAGTTGCTATAAATTTGTATTGCTAGTGTAAAATTATTTATATTTTACGTGTATATACTTAAATTTTAGTAAAATAATAGTAAAATGGCATATTAAAACCAGTTAAAAAGCACAAATATAATATTATAAAAAGAATTTAACTGACATTGTATATAAGATGTTTTGTATTCTTATTATCTTACCGTTGTTACTACTTATTGCCACTGCTTCTTTTCATTTTTTCTTTAGTCGAGACTCTATTGGAAGCGATCTTTCTGCCTTTCAAGGATAGGGGTAACGCCTGCATATACGTTATCCTCCTAAGACTTCTTTTATGAGAATTCATTGAGTTTATTGTTGTTGTTGTTGTATATAAATTGAAATTTAATATTATTAGATAAGGAAGATGAGTAATTAGATGTGCGGCTAAGGAAGAATTTTATGGATGAGTGTAGGGACTAGAGAGGGGACTCACTCCCCACCTAAATGTGTAAAAGTCCATATATTATATATCCCAGCTAGCAAGCAAGCTATAACTAACGTAATAATAATTGCAATTTCAAGTTGAAGTGGCAGGAAGAGACTTCTGCCCTCTAGCTACCATATTACTTAATAACTAATCTGTCATTCTGCTTGTTTGTTTGCTTGTCAACTTCCTCTCTAGTTGTTTCTTACAATCATTCTTTATCTCCTTTCTCCCCATTTTTTATTTTCGCACTAAGAATTAGTATTTGCTACTAGCTTCGTAATTGCGGATTAGGCCAAACCCAATAGCTTTAGTTAAAACGTTCTATTTGTATTATTAAATTCATTGGATTATACACATATTGCTAATTGTGTACGGGTAAAATCGAGGGCAATGTCTACCTCGATTCCCCGATGAGAGAACGAAGGGGGAGCACAGATCGTGAGATTGTAATCGAGGTCAGAGACTCTTCGTATCGAGACCCGGGAAGAGTGAATGATATATCCAACATTGGACATGGTAAAGCAACGCGTCTCAGGTCAAGTATAAGTTCTAGACCTCGGAAAATACGGTAAACAATTGGGTGTGACAGATAGAGTGTTGGGATTAAAGATTGGTGAAGGGAAATGGAGGGAAGAAAGTGGAGGGAAAGTGAGTTCCCTTTTGCTTTGGAAGAACAAAGTGTCCCTCGTCGGTGGTGGAAAGAAAGTAAATGTGCTTATATTGAGAAAGCACTTATCTTGGTGTTAAATGAGTTAGAAAGAAAGTAAGCCTCACGCCGTCGTCGTCGCTCGACTCGGCTTCGACTTCTGCTTTGACATTCGGTCAAAGATTGATTAATTAATCTTAATTAAGTTAATTAATTAAAGAAAATTCAACCCGAAATAACCCAGGACCCGCGACACGACTCGGTCCCTTCCGTTTCTGTCCTGGATTCTGAAAGGTTGCAAACCTTTTGAGAAACAGTGCCAGAAAGGCTATAAATATGTTTGAATCCAAGAACTTTCGTTGCGAAATTTTCTAATCTTCTTATGCACATATTTTCCAGTGTGTTTTACAACCATTGAGTGGTACGAAGTTTATCAGAGTTTTTGGTGCCACTACATTGGTGAATTAAAATCGTTCTATCCCGGGAGAATAATATTTCAGCACCTCAAGTACTTGAGGGGAATAATTTCCTTACGGACAGACTGTGCATTCAGTGGGCTCGATTTATTCCGAAATTATTTTCAGATGTTATTTTGACATTCTGTTGCTACTAAATTTCTTTTTCTGTTTCTATTTCAGAAAGTTTACTGTTTCATTATTTATTACAGTAATACAGATTGACTAACATAGAGGACCATAATACTCACTCTCAACTGAATATCACGGTGCGAATCTCATTCGATGTCGATTATGTATCAACAATGACACAAAAAAGAAGATTTTTACCTTTTTTAGACTTATACCAGGACTGAAACTCTCTTGCTATACAAAGGGAAAGTTCTTCTTTAGGCTGACATATTATAACAAACAATTCAAAGCAATAAAGGTTTACTTTTGTCTTCTAGCTACTATTAAAGGCATTACTCATTTGTTCTGTTCTTTATTCGCGACTGAGCTTGAACCGAGATACCAATCGAGGACGAGCTCATTATTCAATTTAAAATCAGTCCTGGTCTTAACATTACGATTGATTTGATCGTTTATTTCATCTTTAATTCATTTATATGGTATTCTTAATTATTCATGTTGAATTAAACCACGTATCCTTTAAAGCGCGTACAAATTTAATTGTTACCTAGTTTTGGGGTAAACACTAATCTAGAACTTTGTAGCTTAAAAAGACTAGAATCCGAACCCATAAGTTTTAAATATTAACTCTTGCTTTGACTGCTATTGTAGCTACTGCCGGCAATATTCTTGATGTGAGATTTATGACTTCTCAAGTTTGAAAATTGTGAGGAACAAATGCGGATCCAGAAGTTAAATTTTATGTGTTTAAAGTTCAGAATACTACCACAACCTTTTTAACTTACTGAATTCGAAATCTACTATTTATGTTTATTTAGTAAATTTTTAACATACAGTATAATATATCACATTGGAATAACAGCAACCGAATTCATCCTAACTCGTAAGTCGTAAGTGGTACACTACATCAGCCCTGGTGAGGAAACGTATAAAATTTAGAGGTTAGACGTTCCATAGGTTTTTTACCAAATGGTTGCCGTTACAAATGGTAGTCAATTTAAACGTTCAAAAGGAAATTTTTAAATGTTAGAAATTAATGGCATTCGAATTTAATTGGTAGATAACAAAATACTATCTAGACAATTTTACAATTAATACACGGAATCTTTCAAAATGCCCCATTAGTTATTCACATTAAAATTTTGAGTTGCACTGCTGGTAAAAAGGTGTTTAGCTTTCCATTCCCTTCAAAACGCTTTGAGGAATAAGATCGGACTCGAAAAATAAATTAATTTCTAGGAAACACTGTCCTTCAAAATATGCTTAGTATGTACTCCTTCCGGTCCAAAATAAGTGATTTTTTTAGTTGTTTTTATACATATTAAAAAATTTATTTTTTAACATTAATTAGCAATGAAATTGACCATATTAACCTTCACTATCTCTTTACATAAATACTCCTAACATATACTCTAACATTAATTACTCCAAGGGCAATGTAGGAAAAAAATAATTAATTCATTCTTGAAATCTGGAAAAATCACTTATTTTGGACCACAAGAAAAAAAACAAAAAAATCACTTAGAGCCCGTTTGACTTAGCTGATTTAGAGTAGCTGATAAGCATTAGGTGCTGAAAAGCACTTTTAGGTGCTGAAAAGCACTTTTAAGTGTTGAAACTGATTTAAAAAATAAGCAATTACGTGTTTGGATAAAAGTGCTAAAATTAATAATAAGCAGCTGAAGAACTGGGTATACGAAAAGTTTTGTTTTAAAAAGAAGTATTTTATGGATAGAATAGTAAATATTTTGGTCAAACCTAAAAAGTTGGGGGAGACCAACTTATGGCTTTTGGCTTATAAGCACTTTTAATTTTACCAAACGCGTAGATAAGCCAAAAAGTGCTTATAAGTCAGTTTAACCAGCTTATAAACTTAGTCAAACACCCCCTTATTTTGGATAGGAAGGAGTAATATCATTTTGACCATTGGGACCCACTCCTAATTTTTAGAGCGTAACTTTGTGTTTCTAATATTTACTTTTTGGTACATTAGGGCCCCTGAAATGGCTAAGTGTAGCATCTTCTTAACCTACATCTAATTGTCTTTGGTAAGGTAATATTTTCTCTTGAAATTTTTAAAATTTACACATTATTCGTCTTGAGCAAATAATGACCTTAAGTCATACTTATTTAACTACTTTAATCAGCTATTCCAAACAAGCTCTAATTCGACAAGTGCTCGTGAACAAATAACATCCACATTGCCTTCTTTTCATTTCCTTACTATTCTAGGAAATTTAAGTTTCTCCTTTATAAGGAAGTGGATATTCTCTAGAATTTGAATGCATTTGGGTGAGAAACTCAAAGTTTAAACTTGCACATTTCCTTTCAACCTTCCCAAATCAGTGGACCCCACACAAAATTTAAAAAAGAAAAAGAAAAAAAAAAGAAACTCCAATTTCAACGAAAAATAAAGGTCCGAGGTGTGGGAGTGGAGAGAAGGGGAATGCACAATTTATGATTGTATTTCAAATTGAGAAGTCAAATAATTTATTATGTGACCCCAAAATTTCTAACCACTTTAAACTTATAGAATTTGTGTTTCTTATACTAATTAATAAATTATTGAATATATACTTTATTTTAAGAAAAATTAAAATAACATTCAAGTTCACACAAAAAGTTATTCCAATTTCGTCATTGTAATAGCTAAGTAAACCTTGTAGAGAGATAACTATTAATTCAGAAAAACAAATCTTCAATTTTGTCAAAAAATATTTTTGTAAAGAGGAGTCTTGGAAGAAAGGTAAAGTTATTTTCGTGTAATTTATATCTCATGAAAGTAGCCACTATAAGTTGTTTGCATCACATTCATGGGATGCGACCCCATACCTTGTGTATTGATTTTTTATTTTTTTTTTTGTAAAAGAAAGTGATCAGCTTTATACAATAGGCACAAGAAAGAACAGCGACCCTCCCCTGGACCCTTGTCCCATTTCCTATCTTTATGCTGAAAAAGTAGTGAGAGAAATAGATATTACTATATGGATTCACAGGTCTTTCTTTGGTTCTGAAAAAAGTTACTCCTAGTACTAAAGCATAGACCTTTTTTCTTTCCATTTTTTGACTCAGTGAGAATCAACAGGGGTTTTCTTGTAATTTCCACCTTGTAATTCAAGCTGCAAAACAATACATACAGAGAGAGAGAGAGAGAGAAAGAGTGTGTGTGTGAGAGAGAGATACATAGACAAAGTGGTAGTATTACTAATGTAATGGTGTGGCCACTCTGGAGACAGAAGAACACCAACCCCAAATGATTTTCTCTGTAAATTCCTACTCACTGCTACTAAGTGTACTTCTACTACTGGAATTTTACTCTATCTTGATATAGTCTCTCACAACTTCTTTGTTTCTTCTATATCTCTCTCTCTCCTCAGTCTTTTTCTCTCTCTAAGCCCAAGACCATGTCAGCACTATAGCAGCAAACCTTCCCATTTCTTGATAAAGAACCATTCTTTTTTCATAAATTGTGAAATTGGAACTTGGTTTTTGTTTGCTGTAAAAATCTGCCTTCCACCGACACCATGGCTACTAAATCAAAGTAAGTCCACTGGATCTGATTTGGGTATTTTCTTGTTTTTCAATTGATCCTAGTTTTTGGGTTGTATCTGCATTTTGTTACTCATTTTGTGGTGCTTTGTAGAAAAACATTCTCTTTTTTTTAATGCCTCTATTCTTGATTTTGTGCATTTTGTACTTGGTTAGTGCTTAGATTTGCTTGTTTGTAGTGTTGTTTTTTATGGATCATAATTCTTTGAGGATTCTAATGTACTTTTGACTTGATCTCTGGATCTAAACTTGTACTCCAATTTGCCCTGATTTAAAGGTGTGATCTTATTTTACTGCAACTATATGCTTAATGCTGTTAGAAAAACTAAAAAAGAAGCTTTTTTTTGCTGTAATTTGATAAAGTTTCTACCTTTTGCTTTGGATCCATCAAATTGTGTTTGCATTTTCTCTAATAGGATAATGAGTTTGTGCTTAGTGTAATGTTGCATTTTAGAAGTTGCCTAATTGTTGAATATTTTGAACTTTATATCAGATCCACTCTATCCGACAAGTCAACACCAGCAACTCCTCGAGACCGGGTGAGTAAAGTAAGCAGGGGACTATCAAAATCTGATGCTGATTCACCCTCGCCCTTTCAAAATTCACGCCCTCCAGTTGAGAAGTCTCCGAGATCTGTAACTTCCAAGCCTTCTGTGGAACGGCGGTCCCCTAAGAACAGTACCCCGCCTGATGTAAGTTCCGCAAAATTCCTTGACTTCATTTCCTTGGTTTCGTCAGCATTTTTTTCGGGGTGGGGGTTGGTGTTTGATTCTACAAATGGAGAAGGTGAGGAGTTTAATGCTAAAATGCAACTTAAATTGCAATGTCCTGCTGTTCTCTGTGTCTAATAAGGTGAAATTTGAGTTCTGATTCACCAAAGAAAAAAGGGCAGCCCAGTGCACAAGGTATCTTGCCTTCACGCAGGGTCAGGAAGGGTCACACCCTAAGGGGTGTGATGTAGACAGCCTACCCTAAGGGATGAGTTCTGATTTACCATCGCGTGATTATATGCACTAGCAGTTGTGGTGATGAGTCAATTGTATAGACTCTCTAACATTAATGCTAGATGGAAGTTATTTGTTTTTGTCTCAAAATCAGGCTGTTTGTGAAACTTATAAATTCTGATCTGGATTATTGCATGATTTTATTGTTGTCAGAAAAAGCCAACGCGGATCTTGAAGCCATCGGAGCTGCAAGCTGAATTGAATGTTGCTCATGAAGACCTTAAGAAGGCCAAGGAGAAATTGGCTTTGGTTGAAAAGGAGAAGGAGAAAGCTCTTGAAGAAGTGAAGGAATCTCAGAAAATGGCTGAAGAAGCCAATGAGAAGCTGAGAGAAGCTATGGTAGCTCAAAAGCGAGCTGAAGAAAACTCTGAAATTGAAAAGTTTCGTGCTGTCGAGATGGAACAAGCGGGCATTGAATCAGCTCAGAAGAAAGAAGAGGAATGGCAGAAGGAGCTTGATGCCGTGAAGAACCAACATGCTTTGGATGTTGCTGCTCTCCTATCCGCCACAGAGGAACTTCAACGTGTAAAGCAAGAATTAACCATGACTTCTGATGCCAAAAATCAGGCACTCAGCCATGCCGATGATGCCACAAAAATTGCTGAAATTCAGGCAGAGAAGGTGGAAATTCTCTCAGCTGAGTTAGTGAGAGTGAAATCTTTGCTTGAATCCAGGAATGAAAATGAGTCTTGTGAGACGAATAAGTTGGTGGAAGATCTGAACCTTGAGATAGCGGGGCTGAGAGAAGAAGGCAGTGAGAAGAATAAGTTGTTGGAAAATGTGGAACTTGAGAAAGAGGCACTGAGGAAAGGAGATGATGAGAAGAATATTTTGTTAGAAAATCTGAAACTTGCGACTGAGGCATTGAGAAAAGATGACGGTGAGAAGAACAAGTTGTTGGAAAAACTGAAACTTGAGATCGAGGGATTGAGAAAAGAAGATAGTGAGAAGAATAAGTTGTTGGAAGACCTGAAACTTGAGATAGAGACGCTGACGGAAGATCTCGAGGAGGCAAAAAGTTATGAAGAGAAATTGGTGGAGAAAGAAGCTCTCCTGGAGCAACTTAATGTTGACCTGGAGGCTTCTAGGATGGCTGAATCTTACGCACATAATCTAATGGAGGAGTGGCAGCAGAAGGTTGAGGAATTAGAGGCTCAGACTAAGGAAGCCCGTCATTTGGAGAGATCTGCGTCTGAATCACTGGAGTCGGTCATGAAACAGCTCGAAGGAAGTAACGATTTGTTACATGATGCAGAATCTGAGATTGCTTCTCTCAAGGAGAAGGTGGGCCTACTGGAAATGTCAACGACAAGACAGAAAGGGGATCTTGAGGAATCAGAACGTCGTGCTCAGATTGCCAAGGAAGAAGCTTCTGAAATGGCAAAGAAGGTCGAGTCTCTTATTGCTGAGCTTGAAACTGTGAAGGAGGAGAAAACTCAGGCTATCGAGCACGAGAAACTAGCAGCAGAAAGTGTTCAGTCCCTTTTGGAAGAAAAAAACAAACTTATAAATGAGTTGGAAAACTCCAGGGAGGAGGAAGAGAAAAGTAAGAAGGCGATGGAAAGTTTGGCATCAGCATTACATGAAGTTTCTTCAGAAGCAAGAGAAGCCAAAGAGAGGTTGTTGTCTAGCCAAGCTGAACATGAACATTACGAAACACAAATAGAAGATTTGAAGTTAGTATTGAAAGCTACCAATGAAAAGTACGAAAGCCTGCTTGATGAAGCAAAAGAGAAAATTGATGATCTCACTACTTCAGTAGAACAATCTAAGAATGAACACCAGATTTCGAAGGCTGAGTGGGAGGACAAGGAGCTTCATCTGATGAATTGTGTAAAGAAAACTGAAGAAGAAAATTCTTCAAGGGAAAAAGAAATAAACCGATTGGTAAATCTGCTAAAAGAGGCTGAGCAAGAAGCTTCTTTCAAAGAGGAAGCAGCTCAATTGAAGAATTCCCTAAACGAAGCTGAATCTGAGGTGACCTATCTAAAAGAGGTTCTTGGTGAAGCAAAGGGCGAGAGCATGAAGTTGAAGGAGTCGCTGTTGGACAAGGAAAATGAAGTGCAGAATATTCTTCAGGAGAATGAGGAGCTTCATAGTAGAGAAGCCGAATCTTTAAAGAAAGTTGAAGAGTTGTCCAAGTCCCTCAAAGAAGCTTTGGCCAAAAAGGAATCTGAAGAAAATGGAGAGCTTTCTGAAAGTGAAAAAGATTATGATATGCTTCCAAAGGTGGTGGAATTCTCTGAACAAAATGGAGGAGGAATACTGGAGAAGCCTAAGATTGAAGTTATGCCTCATCAATCTGAGCAATCCACTGAAGCAAAATCTGAAGAAGTCAATATCACCTTGCGCGATGAAGCTGTTGTTGAGACCTTAGCTGAAGTTGAGAAGCCAAATGGAGAACTGACCGGAAATGAGCACAAAGAAAAGGAAGATGATGATTCAGCAGAAGGCGAGTTTAAAATGTGGGAGAGCTGCAAGATTGGCGACAAAGACTTCTCTCCTGAAAGAGAGACAGTACAAGAAGAGGAATCAGAGTCGAAGACAGATGTTGGAGAGAGCTTCGACCAGGTAAATGGAGTACCTTCAGCGGAAAATCCTGAGAATGGTGGCACATCTCCTACAAAGCCGCAAAGTCAGAAGAAGAAGAAACCTTTGCTTCATAAATTTGGAAGCCTACTGAAAAAGAAAGGCACCAGCAGCCAGAAGTAATAGACCGGTTGTCACCTATCTTGTGCCTGACGTGTAGAGAGGTATACTAAATTCAAGAGTAAATGTTGGACTTAATTGTGTTTGCTCAAAATCTTTGCTTTTCTTTTCTTTTCTTTTTTTGGCTATTTGTTTGTCTCAAATAGGTGTTTACATAAGAAAAGGATTGTATCATCGGTAGTGTTCCATTCTTATTAGTTCTGGGGTTCAGTTTCTCAATGTGGTTTTATCATGTTGGGCAATATCCTTTATTTTTGTATTATTCTTTTTAGCTTTATTCTCTTTCTATATTTCTAGTATCAAATTTGCATCTGGAGAAGAGAGAATTTTTTTTTTCCAAGTGTACTTTGATATGGTCTAGGATTGGTCTTGGTTCCATCGTCTATGTCCTAGTTAAATTAATGAAGTTAAAATCATTACTGACTTTGTGGTGAAGAAACACACTCGGACCTTGTCATTTTACTCTTCATTTTGTTTATCTAATCAGTAATCCAAACACAGCAACATTCATAATTAGCGGTTCAATGTGCATAGGTTCATCAGAATAGAGAAGTATAATGCAGCTGAAATGGTTCACTTGTAATCTGAGTCAAAATTAGGCATCTAATGATTAAATTAATATGAGGTCAAAAGCTAAACCATTTATCCCCGGAGGATATAAAATCTTAAAACTTCATCATGCAGAAGAAAATTAGATATTTGCGTGAATATTCCTCTTATACTTGAATTAGAAAAAAAAGAAGAAGATAGTGAGAATGAAGTTTCAACCTTGTAACCACCTATCTTGAATTCTCTCTCTACAATGAATAGCCAGTTCTCTGAACCTTCAAACAAAATTCCTCCAAAACCACCCGATTTAGAGCATGGGAAAACCACAAAGCATGGCCTGGAAGAATTAGGGACATGCTAGTATCCTTAGACCCAATGAACTTTAAGACAATGAAGGTTCAGAGGAAGAGAAGCAGAGAATTTATGAACCATGAAGGTTCTCTATCATCAAGAAACGTTTCGAAAAACATATAATACATCATTATCTAAAAAAAAAAATCTAAGAGTTGTGGCGTTCCTCAGAGGTTTTCCCATTAATTGACCTAGGGGAAGACTACTACGTCATCAAATTTAGCAAAAAAGAGAACATGGAAAAGGCCCTCCACCAAGGACCATGGTTCATTAATGGCCAATATCTATCAATTACAAAATGGAAACCAAACTTTGTAGCCACCAAGGAGAAATTAACAGTCTCAGCGGTATGAATTAAATTACCACAATTGCCGACTGAATTCTATGATGGAAAAATCTTAGAAAAAATTGGGAATTTTGTAGGACGTCTATTAAAAATTGATTCTTGCACATCAACCATAGTACGAGGTCGTTATGTCAGGCTCTATGTTGAATTACCATTGGAATACCCAGCACAGCCATTTATCTACATTGGTCACCATAAACAATACATCCACTACGAAGGTGAAAATTATCTATGTAAGAACTATGGAAGGTTGGGTCATACACAAACTCAGTGCACTTATGTTCAAAAGGAAAGCATGGAAAAAACGACTCCAAACAAGGACCAACCAACAACGACAATTGAAGATACTGACGGGGAGTGGAAGATAGTATCTTTCAACAGAGGGAAGAAGCAAAATCGAAAAACTAATCCAAAAAGCTTCACCAAATCAATGAAAAATCACAACAACTCAGGTATCATTATCAAATTATTCAATGTCAATACAGGTAAGTATCTGGATACTCAAGTTTTGCAATACAAATCTAAAAATCCTGTTAGAAATCAAGAAAAATCCACCAATGAGGGTTCAACAAACTTGGCCATGGGAAATACCACTATTCAAACCCAAAACAATTTCTCTCTCTTAGAAAATGAGCAATGGTTTTGTGTGAAACCAACGAAAATCAAAAAGAAATTAAAAACGACTACTCTATTAGAGATGAACACATGGACACTAGTTTGGATAATATAGACACATTAGAAACAAACATGTCATTGGTTAATACTACTACTAAGAATGCCATGCATAAGAGCACCCCTAACAATAGGATTAGCCCACTAACAAATAATGACCCTACCGCTGCTAATAACCAATTAAAACATTCCCTAAACACTAATACTACAAAACAAATTATGAGAGATAAGGTACCCCTCTTAGAACTTAGAAGAGGGGCCCCAAGAGCATGTCTTACAAATGTCCAACCAAAACTCAATCACCAAGCAAATGGCACATCCCCTAGAACATGAAATGGAAGCTAGATCTTCAGAAGATCATGTTATAAACCTTACGCCTTTCCATCCAAATGACATGTAAATTGAAAACTCAATCGTTGCCCTAATTACTTATGCTCTCACTATCACTGGTGAATCCAAAACCACACCTGCCAATAGCCTTCTTAAACCCCACCAATTAATACAAGATGCCAAGAATTCCCTCCACATTGAGGAGAAGACAAAGACTAATCTAGATTTTGAGATATCAAAGAGCTTAGAATATGGAAAATCTACCTCATTTCACCCCACAAATGAAAAAATCACAAATCATCTATGTCCAACCACCTGCACAAGATTACCAGCCTCTTTCATTGATGGAGATGGGACTGATGGGTCATGCAGTCTCTTTCAATCTCCAAATAAATGGGCAGGAGATGATAGTCATCCTCCAAAAAACCCCACTACCTAGCACAGTTGATATCCGAAGGGATGAGGCTTGCAATGAACAACTATCTAAATCAAGTATGGCTAAACAATATTCTACACCCACATGCACCATTTCTGAACCCAGGATCCAATGGAATATGTCACCCTATTTCAATCCCATACAACCACAAATTCTACTCCTGGACATGCCCTTCTTTTCATCAGAAACTCTCTCACAACTAAACCCGATCTTCATGCCATGAAAAATACACAACAATTTAGGAGCAACAAGCACCACCAATGGAGCAACAACCACTATGCCTGGCAGCAACTCGGATCTTATGTTCTTTAGATGCCTAGCTTATCTGCCAGTTTTCTGGCTATAAAAGGAAGAGGTTAGTTCACAACTCTGAAAGCCGAAGATGAAGCGAGGAAGGCAGCTACAGAGCAGCAGATAAGGAATACATATACTGATCATAATATAAATCATGCCTAGATACCCGAAAATCGATTTTCCCGAAAAAGTAGAAACGATATGACTTATGATACCGGATCTAGGCAGAATGGGAATATACACCTCTGGATGACCGAAGAACCAAAAGATATTTGGTATTCCTTTCAAAAGAAAGAACGACCACATCAAAAATTTACGCAAGGTCTTCGAAAGGTTAAGAAAACATCAATTGAAGATGAACCCGAAAAAATGTGCATTCGGGATCGGGCGAAGGCCTTAAATCAGTAGGGCAATAGCATAGCTATTATTGACCTGACCCCCAGATGGTGCAGGATCCAGAATAAGAAGAGGTTGCCATGGAAGAAATAGGAGACCCCCTCAACCCAGGCATGGAACAGATTCTGGAGTTCTCAAACCTAAACGAGGTAAAAGTGTATCTCTTCAAGGAGATGCAAAAGAAGAGGCATGTGCTCAACTGCCCACTGGTATTGTACAAGTTCTCAATGGACATTAGGCCACCAAAAGACCCAACAGTGGGCAACAGAGCCACGATTCTAGTTCCCTCACTCAGGAGGAGCCCTGTCTTTCTAAAAGGGGGAAGGGAGAATGGGGACCCAGCAAACATGAATCTAAACCTAGCCATGAATCGTCCAACTAATTTCATTATTTGGAACATTAGGAAAGGAAATAATGACGATTTTAGGAGAAACTTTAGGGAGATGGTTGACACCCACATACCATATACGATTGGGAACTAGGATGGCAAACCATGCTCAAATGCTTAATGATTTTGGTTTCTCAGAAATGATAGAAGTTCTCGCTGAAGGCCAAGCAGGAGGTATGGTGGTAATGTGGAACCACAATGTAGTCACTATCCATAATTTTATCCGCAGGAACCAGGAAATTTATGCAACAATTGAGGTACTTCCTGTTCGTAAACTTTGATTATTTGCATCTATATATGCTAGTACTGATAAATTTAATAGGAATATTATGTGAAAAAATTTAGAAAATATCCATAAAAATTATAAAGGCCCATGAATGGTAGAAGGTGACTTTAATGACATTATGAGATCAAATAAACAATTCGAGGGGGGGACCTTTAAACAGTAATAGAGCTAATTACCTTTGGTCAAAAATTAGTAATTGCAATTTAATAGACATTGGCTATAAGGGTTGCAAATTTACGCGGTCAAATCATAGGAAAAGAAACAAAGGGACTCATCATGGAACGACTAGATAAAATTTTAGGAAATGAGGATTGGCTTGAAGTTTTTCCTAATTGCTCAGTAATCCACCATCCAAAGACCTACTCAGATCATAACCCACTTCTAGAAGAATTAATTCCTAGAGGTAGACAAGAGTATAGACAACTATTTCAATTAGAATTTTTTTGATGTAGACACCCCGACTTTCAAAACCTAGTTAGCAAAAATTGGACTGGAATAGATTATTGCAGTGCTAGTAAGAACTTTGCAACTAGTATAAAGTCATGGAAGGACAAGACTTTTGGGGATATTTTTGGTATAAAAAAAAAAGAAAAAAATTGGCAAGATTTCAAGGGATCCAAAACTCTAAGAATTACACAACGAGTGATTTTCTTCATATACTCGAGATTAACCTAAAAAGGATTACAATGATATCCTTAGAATAGAGGAGGAATACTGGAAATTAAGGTCTAGAATAAAGTGGCTTAATGAAGGAGATGCTAATACTAAAATTTTCCATATTTCCGCTTCAAATAGGAGGAGGAGAAATAAGATTACCTATTTTAAAGACGAGGCTGAAAACTGGCTAAATGATCAACACTTGATCATGCCACGTGTTTGCAATTACTTTAGGGATACTTTCACTACCTCGCACTTAAGTACTGATTGGAATAACATGAAAACAAGCCCTTATAGTTGCTATAAGTATGATCTAAAAATCTTAGACAAGCCACTGTTAGATGGTGAAGTTACGAGAGCAATCTTCTTTTTTAAACCCTTTAAAGCTCCTGGACCAGATGGCCTCTATCCATTTTTTTCTAAAAATATTGGCATATTATTAGAAAATCTATAAAAAAAACCTTTGTCATGAGATCTTCAACATCCAACAGATCCCTAGTGACATTAATAAAATATACCTACGCCTAAATCCAAAAATGCCAAATGCAAACAATATCAAAAAATTTAGGCCAATTAGCCTAAGCAATACTATGTACAAGACGGTTACAAAAATACTTGCAAATCGTCTCAA